GGGTTCATATTTGTTGTCTGTACTGCCCATGTACCTCTCTATGTCTTTCTCATCCTCAGTGCTGCCATATTGGTCACTCACATTTGGTACACTGCCCTTCTCTTCACCCAAATCAGTATTTATCTCTATCTATCTAATAGCGTAAAACCAGTTTCTTTTAAGACATTCATGCCATATTACCATTTGGACGTAGTAAGACAATTCCATTGCTTATGAGAAATGTTACTTTTATAAAAATAACTCAAAGCTAACAATCAATGAGCATTCTTATTCAGTATATTAAAAAAAACTCTGAAGTATCTTCTTACCTTCATAGGCTGTCCCACACCAAATACAATACAGATGTTCTTCTCTTAAATAGCTAGTTAATATTTGTAATTTTTCCAGAACCTAGATATAGGATACAAGCATATTAACAGTTTATTCTGAACAGAACTTGGTTTTCTGAAGTCCCTTACATCATGCTGAATTCACCCAAGGCCACAATTTTCTGCTATATTCTCAAGTTGATTATTAGAGGTGCCAAGGGTACATGTTAGCACAATGTGTCCCAGTTTACCAGCCACCTTCAGATTTTCACAAGTCTGCCAGATACAACAGAGACCACTTGTTTAGAAATTGTTTTTTGGCTGGCTCTATTGAAATCAGCATCACTTAAAAACCCCTTCCACCTTCAAGGAATCTATCTCCCCCATTGGATAAAAAAACCAAACTCACTGCCATAGAGTTGATTCTGATTCACAGAGACCCCCCACTAGGTTTCCAAGGCAGTTAATCCTTACAGAAGTAGATTGCCTGATCATCCTTTTGCAGAGCAGCTGGTGGGTTAGAACTGTCAACCTTCCGGTTAGCGGTCAAATGCCTTAGACACTGTACCACCAGAGCTCTTCCCTACATATGGATATGAGGGTACATAATATTTTCTTTTGCCATAAAAGCTTTCATTAATGGTCTCTCAGTTAAGTGGAGCAAAGGCTTTTCAAATGATGGATGTTTTCTACAAAATTGTATATAAGTAACTAGTAACATACATTCCTTTCTTGCATTATCTTCACTTTCTTTAGATTGTGTTGTTTTGTTTATTGGGGGAGGTGTGCTTATTAGAATTGCTTAAAGAAGTGTAACAGGAAACAAGGTATAAATTAAAATAATTTCCATTTGCAACAAATCCATCAACACATCCTAAGGTAAAGTGAGAGAGCAAACAGAAGCTAAAGGTAAAACTTAAATGAGTTTTGAATGGGGGCTTAGAAAATAATTCTGTAAATCAGTGGTTCTAAACCAGGAGTGATTCTTCCCCTCGGGGGACATTTTACAATATCTGGAGATATTTTTGGTTGTCATGAGGGGCGTGGAGTTGCTACTGACATCTAATGGGCAGAGGTCAGGGATGGGGCTAAATGGTTCACAATGCACAGGACAGTCCCCACAACAAAGGCTGATCCAAAATGTCAATAGTGCTGAGGCTGAGAAACCCTGCTGTAAGGGAATTGGTGCCAAAACATACGCTTAAATCTTCACTCTTAAATTCATCTTCATCTTGTTGTTTTTCTTCCTCTTCTTCACTCTCTTCTTCAGGCCTCAACCAATACCATGCCTCCCTGGGAGTCTGAATATTCTGAAAAAATAGAATTAGTCTCAATTATACATAACTAAGCAGTGCTGGTAAGACTATCACTAGTATATTCACTTTACCATGCATTCATTCTTTCAATAAATATTTACTGAATGTTACTTCAAGAATAAGGCACTGTACCATAGACTATGGGGATACAAAATTCATTTACAATATTGTCCCCAAGTTACTGACTGTCTAGTAGAGAAGATAATCTATGGGCATAAAACAATATATATAAGTTAGAAAATCTTAAGTGTCATGAAATAAGTGCAAAGCAAGGTACTATGGAAATACAGAGGAATAAGAGAGATTGCTTATAAACCAAAAAAGAAAACAACCAAATCTACTGCCATACAGTTAATTGCGACTCAAAGCAACCCTATAAGGCAGAGGAGAACTGCCCCAGTGTGTTTCTAAGACCATAAATCTTTAGGGAGGCAGAATGCCTATCTCTGTCCCACAGAGCAGGAGCTCTGGTAGCATAGTGCCTAAGGCACTTGACTGCTCACCAGAAGGCTGGCGGTTCAAACCCACCAGCCACTCCTTGGAAGGAAGGTTGGGCAATCCTACTTCCGTAGTGATACTGCCTCGGAAACCCAAGGAGGGGCCGCTATGAGTCGGGGCCAACTCGACGGCAAACAAAAACAACAACAACAGCTCCCACAGAGTGGCCATCAGGTTTGAACTTCCGACCTTTTGGTTAGCAGCCAAATGCTTTAACCATTGCAGAGAGCTCTTAGATTACTTCTAGCAATCTATTTATATATGAGGGAACTTCTAGTACAAACATCTTTTGAGACTTTAAATGAAGTCATTTTTATTTTGATGGTACCTGAATCCCTAAGATAATAGCCAAGACAGAATTTTGTAAACCATTAAAATTGGAAATGAACAGCAGTCAACCTTGATTTCACTACTTAGAGACACATAAAGTAATGAACATGGACTGAAAATAGGCTATTCTGATTAATCAAATATTCTGGTGAACAAAATAGAATTTCCATACATACCAAATCCAAAAAACTCATTGCCATCGAGTCCATTCCAACTCATAGTGATCCCCATTGGGTTACAGAAGTAGATTGCCTCATCTTCCTCCCATGGAGCGGCTGGTGGGTTTGAACTGCTAATCTTAGGGTCAGCAGCCATATGCCTTACCCACCGTGCCACCAAAGCTCCTTTTCATACAATGCAGTGCTGAGTAATCAACATTCAAGTAAGCAGAGGACAATTAAATGTATAAATGTTATTTAACCTTCACTGGATAATTCAGATAACTCAGGTGTCTGCAGTGAACAAGTCATTACTGTGAATGTCAATGATCATATGTCAGTACAGCAGCCTAAAGGAAAGCTTTAATGGCTAGAGAACTAGATAAAACAGACTTGGAGTTCATTTCAATTTTTTTAAATAAAAATATACAGCAAAATCATAATGGGGCTAAAACAATTTACCCAAGTGGAACTGGGTAAAAGGCTTACCTTCTGGGTATCCAACTGTTGACAGGCTCGCTGGCTTCTTTTAAGGTCTCCTTCCAGCTTCATTTCATCTTGTTTATATTTAAGTCGCATTCTAATTAAAAGAAAAAAATTGTACACATATGGTTTACACATGCTCTTTAATCATCTTATATACCTGAGTACCAGAAAATATACCACAATAAAGAAGAGATGAAAGAATTAGTTCACATAAAGATTTACCGAAACTGTTCTTCAGCTTTTTCTTGGGCTTCATTTTTCATGTGAACCTTTCTTCTGTAGCTTTCTAATTCTTCCTCTGCTTTTCGTTTTAATAATGCCTCATGACCAATGCCACTTTTCCCTGTTCAAACAGAACACTCAGATGAGAATATTACTGACATTGTATTTCACCATATGACAAATGAAGTATTTACTTATTTTGAGTACAATCATTCAAAATCATTTGACAAGAGTAATAGGAGGAAACACTCAGATTAACAAAACAAAACAAAATACTCAAACAATCTTATTTTTACAAAGATCATTAGTCTCATCTAACATAACACTACTACACAAATTGGGCATGAAAATTACCTTTAATCAGGCAATAGCAACACCTGTCTTACTTTTAAGGAGCTCTGCTGATGTAGTGGGTTAAGGCATTTGGCTGCTAACACAAAGGTTGGCAGTTCAAACCCACCAGCTGCTCCATAGGAGGAGGATGAGGCAATCTACTTCTGTGAAGATTTACAGCCTTGGAAACCCAATGGGGGTTGCTATAAGTTGGAATTGACTCGATGCAATGGGTTCAGTTTTGGTCATATTTTTATATAAATGTGTACAAATAAAGCATTTTTTTTCCCTCTTGAACTGTTAAAAGAAAATCACGAATCTAGCTCATAATACTTTAGGACATTTTAATAAATAAAAAGCATTGTGGTTTAAATGGATAGCAAGACATTTTTCTCCTTTTTTTATGATTTAATTATTTTTGGTTATCTTTAAATATTTTTATTTTGATGTGGGTGAGAGTTATGATTTAAATTTTCTATTGTATTTTTAAAGGTTTTAGAAGTTTAACAAACATTTACTGAGGACTTCCAATGATAAGAACTGTAGCTATAACATCATAAAAAAGTATGAATTAAGCAAATATAATGACCAGAACTTAGCCAAAGTTATTACTGGAATTGACATATCAAACTTGTATTAGGCCAATGTTTACAGCCAAAATTAAATAATAATATGGTCAAAAATAACTACATACCTGTTTTGACATTGAATGGAATTGGTTCAACAATACCACCTCCTAAAAAAGAGAAAATACAAATTACTTTAGAAAATCTTCCTCAAACTACAGTAAAGTATAGCATGCAATTTTACAACACTCTATGTGTATCTTCTCTAGTTTCAATGACATTCAAAACTGAAAGCTGAACATCAATACAGTCATCCCTCAGTATCCATGAAGGATTGGTCCTAGGACCCCTGAAGGTACCAAAATCTGGGGATTTTTATAAAATGGGGTGGTATTTGCATACAACCTCCCCACATCCTCCTATACACTTTGTCTCTAGATTACTTATAATAGTAATACAACGTAAATGCCATGTAAGTAGCACTTTATGTTCCCTCTTAGCCTTTGAAGAGTTAGTTGCTTTTATCACTTAATTGGCTTAACATCCACCCACCCCCACCCTGGCCTAGTATTTTCAATCTAGGGTTGGCTGAGTCCTTGGATATGGAACCCACAGGTTCAGAGGGCCTACTGTACTCTATGATCAATTACCTCTCCTGCCTTATAAATGCTTAATCCTTAACAAGACTGACTCATAGCCTCTAGGCTACCTGAAGGTGGGGCTCTGTTACCATTACTTGCTACTGAGTCAATTCCAACTCATACAGACTCCATGTGTATAGGACAGAACTGCTCCATAGGGTTTTCAAGGATATGATCTTTCAATCTGGTGGCCCAGTGGTTAAGGCACTCAGCTGCCAACTGGAAGGTTGATGGTTCAAACCCACCAGAAGAAAGATGTGGGAGCCTCCTCCCATAAAGATTTCACCCTTGGAAACCTAACGGGGTGGTTCTTCTCTGTTCTATAGGGTCGCTATGAGTTGAAATTGGTTTGACAGGAATAGGTTTGGTTTTGGATCTTTCGAAAGCAGATTGCTAGGACTGTTTTCCAAGGTGCTTCTGGATGGGTTTCCAACCACCAATCTCTTGGTTTGTAGCTTATTCATTCATGCCACCCAGGGAGTCCGCAAAGTGGAATTTTAAGAAGTGAAAATATTGCTACTGTAGGTCGAAAAGGGTAAAAGTCCTAAGGGAAAGCAACGCCTTGCTAGGTGGAAAGTAAAGCAATTGAAATGAAGGCCATAAGGAAAGAAAAACAGCTTACAAAAATTAACAGTGTCTCCGAGTTCCGGCAAGGTAGCGCACAAGGCAGAAAGACTGCACAGACCCTCTTAAACAAAGAAAAGGGAAACCAATTAACACAGACAGAAGATAATCTTGGACCCCTGAGCCTTGAAGGGAAGAATATAGAAGTGGACTAAACCCCAAGTAGCAGAAGAATTTGCGTGAAAATACCAAAAAAGGAGACATACGGAGCTGCGGTCTGCAGCAATCCTGAGTGATCCTGACGGCATAGACAGCTTGGAGATTCCAGAGTGGTGGTAGGACCTAAGAATTAACCTAAAAATCAGCCCTGCTAGCCAGGGACTGCACAGTGAACTGCTCTGGTGGCTGGGGAATAAAAGGAGAAGGTGACGAGAAAGGCAGGCTGAGCTGTGGACTTTTGCCAGTCTGGAGGATGCCGCCATTTTTAAGGTTTAAAAGCAGCTTGGCTATTTTGGATATTTACAGAGATGGCGCTCTCGTAGATTCCTGGGGCTTAAGAACACGTTCTGCTTTCCAGCAACACCAAGGACACTCCAGACCTGCAAGACTGAAAAGGTACGACATTCCCCTTGTTACTCTTATACCCCACACCTGCTTGGTGAACGTAAGAGTGGCAATCCCCCACTCCCACCTACCCCCTGGGCCCACAGGAACTCCATCACAGTCTGTGTGCTCAGATGGAGCCTGGGTGCCCTGCCCTGTCCGATTTTTTTTTCTACTTTTTTATTTTCTTCGTTTCATTTTCTTTTTTCTGATGACTAATTTACTTGTATTTGTCTGTTTTAAAACAACGATTATTATTAATACTTTTGTCCTTTTTACTATTATTCTTAATCTTCCCCTCCAAGGTCCTAGTTTTCAACATTTTTTTCTTTTCCCTGTTCCTGATTGAATTTTTTTTTTTCTCATTTAAGTGTTTGTTTTTCTTCTCCCCTGTTTTTTCTTGTGGTTAACCCCGTTCCTTGTTTTTCTTTTTGCATTTTTCCCATTTTTTTTGTTTCCTTCATTATTCTCCTTATCGACTTTTTTCCTCTTAGTGCACTATCCCCAGATATTGCAGGTTTGCTTGTTTCTTCTTCTTCTTTTTCCCTTTTTTCTTAATTTGGTTACTGTTCCTGTGTGACTACATGGTGTGTTTTTTTGTCCATGTACTTTTAGTTTTTTGATCATTATTCAATTGTAATTAGTGTCTAACTGAGTGGGAGATAACAATAGTCTCCATAAGACACAACTACACCCACACCTCCTGCAACTTCACTCACTGAGCGAGAGCCACTACCTCCTTCTCCACCAATGGGCCAACGATAAAAAACCACCAAGAAGAGACTGAATCACCCTTGGCTGCTCTTCACAAACAGCTAACAGAGATCTAAATACAACAACGCCACGATGCCTCGGAGACTACAGATGACCATAATCCACACAAAGAAGCAGGATAAAGTGGTAGAAACAAGGGAGCAGGATACAGACCCAGAACACATCCCTGAGGAAGAAGCAGCACTGGAACTCTCTGATAAGGAATTCAAAAGAATTATATTTAGGTATCTTCAAAGGATTGAGAGACAGACCAAAGAAAACACAGAAAA